AACGAAAAAGGAACGTATTAAATTATTTAATAATTTTATTTCTAACGTTATCGTTTTGATTTTAATAGTTTAAAAAGTTTTTCATTGCATAGAATAGTATAAAACCTGGTTTATGTTTTATGTTACTCTTTATTGAGTTTGCTCTGATACAATTACTGTTTTATTTAAACAACTTTAAAGATTTTTCATGAATATTTTTACTAACATTACATACTTGGTATGTGTGTGTTAATATACTAATATGCATTTCTTTTTATGATTTCAGAAAGACGTTTATCGTTCCATGGAAATCATACAAATCAGGCCAATTCGGTAGAAGAGGATTTGCGTTTTCGATAAAAATATTGTCATGGTCGAAAGTGTGAATTAAAATCTTCATTTCTTCTGGATCATCTTTATCAACGAATCTGGGGCTTCGTCTGGATAAATCAACGGTTAGTATTATCTTTTAATCTTAATTATTACTTCTCATATATATTTTTTAAATCATGATGCATATTATGAAATGCAGCAAATGAAAGAATAAATTCTCAAAATCTATATCGATAAAGAATCCTTACAATGTAAATAATTTTAGAGATGCATAAGATGTACATTGCTTTAAAAATATTGATAATATCCAAAGATATTCTATGGTCTTATACTCTAGACATTTTGTATGGCGTGTAATCTTTACACAGGCGTAATATCAAAAAATCCTAAACAAATTAAAATCTATAATAATTACTTAGAATCTTTAACGAAGATGATAATAAATTATTAATAGTATTAAAGGAGAATTGAAAGATGGTAAAACTGAACGTTTTTGTCACGTAGGTGATTAAAATCGAGATTCATTTGTAAGTTCTAAAAATCGAATTATTTTTTGATGATAGTAGGATTATCAATAAATTGACAAGTTACATACTTGAAAGAAAGAATATATAGTGAATGGGTTAGACGTACAATGTAATACGCGAACAATGAAAAGTAAGAAGAGATGATTGGGCCTACAGCGACAATGCATTTTTCCAAGTAGTAAGAAGACTATAATATTCCTATTATACTTATTCTCCTCGAATCCCACCTAACTCTACTGAATTTTTCTAACCATTCTTCTTTCCTTTTTTTTTTTCCACCGTAACTTCCTTTTTCATCAGAGATTTCAATATCGTTGTTATTATTACCTCATTATCCGAGATGTGAAAGGTATATTCTATATATTACGGGTCCCTTAATCCCTTTTTCGTTCTACTATCATTTCTAAATATATTTACTTTGAAATTATATCTCTTTCGGTGAGATATTATCAAAAAATAATAAATCTAATAAAAATAAAAAGAAAGGTTTTTCTTTATTATTATTATACGCACTTGGGTGTATGCATGCGTGTAGTATGCATGCGTGTGCATATCGTAGAGAACAAAATTTGTTTTCCTTCAGCATTTTTATCGAAGCGTGTGTATGCGTGTATTATGCGCACGCAAGCAAGCAAAAGCCTTTTTCTCTCTCTTTCTCTCTCACTCCTGAGGTGGCCTCGTAAATATGTCAAGGTAATTAAATCTGATACGTGTATATGTGAGTGTAAGAAAAATATTGTGTTATTATAAAAATTCCCCGTATTATTAAAACAAACATTTTCAAAATATTTTCATAACATTTTTCGCATTTTCGTTTATCTTACTAATTTGTACGAATTTTTCCTTTGTTTTTTCTTTTTCTTTTATCTCGCACAAGTATAATTATATTACAAGTTTTTTTTCTCATATTGTATTTATTTCTCTTACACTTTTTCCTTTTTCTTTTTTTTTTTTTCTTTTTATTAGTTCTACGATAATTACTTGTGGACGTGTCAATCGAAAGATCGAACAACTTAAGAACATCTTTTCTTTCTCCCATTAACATATGATTACGCGTATCGAGAAAGCTTTTCTCACATTTCTTCCATTTAATATTCGTTTATTTATTTTTTATTTTGCTTTCCTCTGGTAGCAACTCTGACGCTTTAGCAATGGGGCGGTAACTATATATATAAGCCTATGAATATACGCATACAAGTTCGAGCATTATAGCTAAAACGGATAGCAGACGACTCAGACGACAATAAAATTCGTGGTACAGTTTTGCTTCAACTGCGATACGCGTATGTCGTGTATTTTCGTGTATTTTCGTGTTTGTAATAGTAACCTTTTCTATTCGTATCCAATTCAAATATTTTCTCAATAATCAAAGATCATGGTGAATTATTCGTATTATTACGTGAAGACGATCGGTGAAGATAGCGATAATGCAAAAACTTATAAATTTATGAAGGGGTAAGCTTGATACTCCTAGAAGGACACATCATAAAAATGACGAAGAATACAAAAATATCATTACGATTAAATTATATTTGAAAAAAAAGAAAAAACAAATTAAGCTTTTTATCTATGTGTGTGTGTATCGGCAAAAAACACCTAAATCCTTTGTAGAAACACCAAACTACATGAGACACCTAAAGATGTCTGGTCGACTATCGGAAGATACGGCCTTCGTTCGAGATTACTTAGAGGAGGACTTTCCGGTTCTGGAGACGTTTATCATCCTGCCAATGTTATTTTCAAGGTCCGCCATCATCGATTTTTCCTAGTATCGAATTCATCGAAGAAAAGGGGGCCTGGCTTGAATTAAGTTGTTTTCACTAAAAACAAATTGTCTTCATTCCTTGCAAATAATAATACACTATTTGCTATCTTTATTTAATGTTTTTCTTATGAATTTATGCATTCATATGCAAAGTTGCGCGGAATATCTCATGGTTAAAATAAACTCTTTAGAGATTTCATTATATTATTTTAACGAAATTTTTCGTATTAAATATTTACCATTATTTGCAGATTATTAGAGCTTTACGGTGTGTGTTAAATTATTAATATATAAAAAGAAAATATATATTAAGTTGTTCGTACTTCAACGCATGTTTGGCTAGTTTTTCAAAATCAGGTGTATCATATTAAACCAAGTAACCATATATGTATGCATACATATACACGTATGTATACCTAAATGCATACATAAATTATATGCATTAAATAACAGAGGTAAAAACAAAAAAAAAAGGTTTGATAGAAAATATTATAACTACCATACACTTTGTATATATGGATATATTTGCGTGTGTGTTCATTAGAAGTTTTGTTATCTCTCATGGTGATCATTCTTTTCTTCTTTTTAATTTCTTTATATTTATTTTATATTTCTTTTTTCTATCGCATAATATTTCCTTACTTTTATTCCTCCGAAAAGCTATTGTAAAACATTATTTAGAATTTGATCGATGATCTTTCGTCGTCAATTTTCAAAGTTAAAAATAAATCACGAAGGACAAAACGTTAAATTCTTATTATAAACTACGATTTAATTACCGTTAGGTTTAAAGAAAACGTGACATAATGAAAATCATGGTTTGAAAAACATTGCGAGAGAAGTTAATACAATTTTGCCAAAACGAACTCTTGCCAAAAACGAATGGCAGACAAGATGTTATCTCGTAAAATAACTGTAAACTACAAAACGTAAATAGTACAACGTAATCGAGGAAAATCCTCCTTTGATATATCAAATTCTGACTAAATAATTCGATCATTGGGATTATCCCAATACGAATTAAAACATCAATTCAGATCTTCTTAGAGTCTAATAGAAAATACTCGTCTATTTTACGAATTCGTTTGAAATAAAAGTGCCAATGATTTTTCCTCGAATAATAAAAACTTAATACGTATTTACATTGGAATCTCGTTTTACCAAAACCTTTAAAAGATTCAAATGGACGAGGAAATATCATAGTTGTTCGTAAGATTCGAATATCTACGGTGTGTTCCTCAGATAATACTTTGTCCCAAATTCTTTTCAACGAATAGATTCATTTTTCAAAAGTATTTTTTTCTCATTTTTTTTCTTTTTTCTACAGTACATATTTTCGTTATGTACATCAACCGGTAGTAACTCGACACCCTATAGAAAAATATATATATATACATTTTTAAGCTTTCTTTCATGTTCCCGAAATAGTATTCTTACGCAGCTAACTTTCGTAGAAGATTCTCTCTCTATCTCTTTCTCTCTTTCATGGTAGTTTTAACTTTAACGAAGTCGAAGGAAACAGAAGGAACGTATACAGTTATTTTCTTTTTTTTTTCTTTTTTTTTTTTTTTGACAACGCCTACGAGTATATTTATCACGTGGGGGACCATTGAACCGCTGGTTTTTGAGCGAGAACGAACCTATCGAGACCGAGACCTCAATTTCGAGATACACATATTCACGTGCATAAAACATTGTACGTATAACAAGTGCATATACTGGTATTGAGTGAAAGTTTCGAATGAAAGAAGGACGACATTGAAAATTATTGGTGGTAATTCATAAAAGAGAAAAAAATTGGTAATATAAAAAATATCCATAAACGTTGATAAGTACTTTGTAAAACGCTATAAAAGGATTGGTGCAAACGATAAGAAGAACTTGCTTGAGTAAATTAGTGTCGAGTCACTTATAAGAATGATTCAAAAGTACGCGAATATATAGAAAAAGAAATACATTAGCATTTTTAACTATAAGCGTGAAGTTAATTAGAGTATTATTCTGGGAAGAGGAAAAACAACGGACGAGTACATTGAGTTTTCCTTACTTTACGATCTTTTAAAAATAGTCTTATGTTTATTGGCGTAAAAAAAACAAGTGTTTAGTGCAATTTTTGAATTGGGGTAAAACAATAACGAAAATTGAAAAAAATTAAACATTCGTTTTACAAAAGATATATTATAATATAAAGAATCGCATAAACGTTGATAGTATAGTGCATTGGATAAAATTGTAAAAATATTGTGCAAGCGATAAGAGAAAAAAGTCGAACACACGTGAGTACGTTAGTCGAGTCATTTGAGAATGATTCAAAAGATAGATAAAAGATCTATTTATTAGCGTTTTTAACGATAAGTGAAGTCAATGAGATTATCCTTCTGGGAAAAGGATTATCAAAAAGAGTGCACTGAAATTTTACTTACAGTACGATCTTTTCAAAAATCATCTAAATTGTAATTAAAACAAAATTACAGCGATATTATATAATTTTTAAAACATTATTGAAATATTTTTGTGTACGTGTGTGATGTGCATTTGGTTTATACTACATTAATGCTTATATAAAAAAAAAAAAGTGTGTCGACCTTACTCCAGTATTATTTGAGATAAAAATCGCTAGGTGGCGCATTATGTCACATTGGCATTGAATTTGCTGTCAATTGGCATTGAAAGAGAGAGAGAGAGAGGGAGAGAAAAAGAGAGAGAGAACTTTGTAAACCTAATACATTTGTTATTGTGCAACGTTTTAATAGACAACGGAAAAGCCGACAATCAACTTGGAGAATCTTCTTTTCGAGATTTGAGAAGAGCTCGCGAAGAAAACGTGACACGTGCCTCGTTGACCAAGTGTAGAAGATCCTTTATCGATTATTATAATTCAAGGGTGTGATAAGATAAAATCTGACAGTCATGTATAATAATTACGAAAAAAGTTCTCTTAGTTACGGATGGAAACCGGAAATAACGGAACCAGAATTCGTACGAAAACAAACAAAAGAAATTCAAGTGAGTATAGAAACCATGTGATTTGGAAACAGGTATTTAAATATTTTCTCTTTCGAAAATTTTCATTCAACTTGTCACAGATTTATCAAATCAATTCAATATTTATTATAGCAATTCAGGTATACTTTTATAATATATCTAAATGTTCTATAATTTTAAATATTAAATTGCAATAGAACGAAAATGAATGGCATTCAAATTAATATGAAATTATCATTGCATTTATTTGAATTGATTCGAAGTGATTCGAAGTAATGATAGTCCATTATTACTTTCAATTGAATTTTATTACGTTATTCAACATTTATTTGCTAATAACAATCTAAATTCATAAATAATATAAGATTAGAAAAGTGATTTTATTGCAAGGCCACTCAATGTATTTCAAATATTTCGCGCGAAAAGATTTATATCGAAACCCGAAGTTCTCTCGAATCGAACTCGGCGAAGATAGTCGGAACTAGTCGAACTTAACCGAGTACTGATGCCAGGTATCGATTGACTCGTTTTCGGGCCCGCGCTTTTACAAATGAAATTCCAACGTCGTATAATTTTTTTTAACATAATCGATAATCTTCTTACTAACATTACAAAGAAACGATAATACATTAATCCGAAGAAGAAAACTATTTTTATTTAAAATTACATTAATAAAAAATAGAATATTAAATAAAAGAAAATAAAGGAAATTGAAGAAGACAAGGTACTTATTGATCATGTTACATTCCTAGCTAAGCCGGTAAGTTGCCACGCGGCCTTATGGAGTAAACACGCATTCCTAAGTATAGCAATAGGGAAAATTCGTGATAAAGCTTTGTTTGATGTTTTTATTATAGTAAATGTCAAGTCGCGTGCAATCGAAGAAACGTCATAGACGTCAACGTCAAAAAAAAATACACGATGTTTATTGAACTAAGAAATCTGTGAAGATCTGATGTATTTTACGGCGCATCGAAATAGCGTCATCGTCGGGGAGTGACGAAATATGGGCGAGGACTATAGAAAAACAAGGTCTGGTGCGTTAATGCCGGAAGAAAAGAGCGTAGAATGTGTTAAAGCAAGTTGAGAAAAAGAGAAAACGCGGTTCTCGTTTCGCGTAATATTTTGTTGGTTAACTTTCGAGTTCGCGTATTTGTAACAAATTTAATGTTTCCCGTACGGCCTTCTAATATTATTTCGATGCAACTCGTGTTGTATTTCGAAAGCAAGGTTAAATTGATTGTACCTAACATCATCATCATCATTCGTGCGTGATCGTAACGAAACGCGTTCAACGTTTTATTCTCATTAAAACGTTCGTATCGTAGAAAAGGTGCCTTTTTTCGCGAATAAGTAAAAAGATTTAAGAAGAAATAATTTAAAAAAGCAAGAAAAAAGCCGGCAAACTAACCAACAATGGATTACTATAGTGGAAGTACCAGAAACGTGCTCGATGACGTTTTTGTTAAAACGGCCGTTGAAGTGAAGAGGATATTACCGTCCCTGTTTAATATTAAAGTGGTAGGCATTTTTCTTTATGTATGATGTTATAAATAGAGAGAGACAAAATATAAAAGAAAAAATTGGTATTGAATGCAACTATTGTTCATAATTCAAAAAAAAAAAAAATTATCATTTTTTTAATTTGAATTTCATCAAATTTGCCGCCTATAACGGTTACAAAGAATATAGGTGTGTTGAAGTACTACGTGAGTCAATCATGTATGTCAGTCTCTTTGGAATGCTATGTGTGTCATAAAAGATGAATTAAAATAATTATTTTAGTGACGTTTGTTTCACGATTATACGATTACTATGATACAATGAGATTCTAATTTTTTCTTTTTCTAAGAATGCCATACACTTCATGAAATGTAAAAATATGTAATAATCATTATATGTCGATGGACTTGCGTATCGTTTATTAATAGATCGTATTATCTTATTTTGATTTATTTTTTCAAACACGTTAGATTATTATATTAAAACAATTTGTTTCAAAATGTCGAATCACATGGTAGAAAATTAATAATATCGTTAGCTAGGAATGATGCGCAATTGCAGCTTAATATGATAATAAGATATAATTGAAGTAAGTATATTTGAATGCAACATTTGTTTGACTAAACGTGACAGTAATTTTTAAATACAATAATAAACACTTGTCTTATTTTTCTTTTTAAAAATACGCCATTGATCTACCAGTTTCTATAGATAGTTATTCTAGATCATTCTAGATCATAATTAATGCACCTACTTTTACAAATATTCTCAATACATAATTAATTTAATAATTCACAAGTTAAAACGATAAACTTTAATTTTCAAAGTTTATTAACAAAGTGCTTGCTCAATATTTAAACTATTATATTGAAAATATATTTTCTTTAATAATTAAGCCTAATACTTTTTATTTTTTATTGTTTTTTTTTTTTTTTTTTTGATAATTGGAAGAACTATTAATATAATGTTGACAATTGCATAATTGTTCGTGAAGCTTTTGATCAAACTTTAAAATGATTAATGCTCATGATGACACGATGTACAACATCCATTAACCTTTTTAAGTGAGTAGTTAACTTTTCAAAAACGTAAATTTATTATGTAATAACAGTAAGTGCATGAAATACAAATTTACACTTTATTTGATTATTCAAGAATAGAAATCTCAAATATATTCTTCACTAAAAAAAATAAAACAAATGATATATAGTATTTGAATTGACTTACGTTGTCTTTAAAGTATCATTTCGTCATCTACAATTAAAATGTTATTAACATAATAATTATCAGACTATTCATTTACTTACAATTACTGTTTCTACAATTATCGAAAACATAATTGTTGGAATAACATTAGTTGCAAATCGTAATTTCCTTGATTTATTATAGTAAAAATTAAATAATATCACACCTATATAAACTAATTAGTAACTAAATTAATGAAATTTTTTAAAACTATAATCTTCAATTTATTTCACAACGATACAGTACATATTATCTATATAAAAATAAATAAACAGGAAGTTTGATGCGAATTTATCTTGCGGTTTGTTTTAACTTAACGATACTCTTTTAAAAGTGGTTAATTGTTATCCGGCTAATAGATATCATGCTATGATTTTGAAATATGATAAAACCTTTCCCCATAGAATTATTTTTATAATATAATAGTATGCATTTATACGCGTTAGCGAATAGTTTCGCGTGTTTAATTATTACAAGAGAAATTAATTAATTAAAAGAGTATAAAGAAAAAATCAAATAAAATGTCCGAAGTGAATAGAAGACGAACTTTACCACCTTCATACTCAAATTATCGTTATTCGACATACCTGGAGGAAGGTGTTGCATTGTTAAAACTTTCGCCAGCATTAAAGGAGAATGTTAAAAATAATAGGAATTCGTTGCAATCGTCTAAAACGTTAATTAACATTTCGCGAACTAAGCCCGACATTTATTCGAAATTGCAATCCCCATACCAACAACAAAAGAAAAATTTTTTTCGTAATGAAATCGTTATACCACCATCGAATTCTTCAAAGATGGTAGATTCGTCTAAACCTAATTTAATTCATTACAATGACGGATGCGTTAAAAGTGTGACAAATTTTATTAGAAATAAATGTTACAACGTAAGGTTTCTATTTTTCTTTTAAATGGTTCTTCTATTAATATTAATTATTTCAATTGAATTTAATGAAACAACTATAACTATTGTTCTTTTTTATTCTAGCTTGGAGAAAAAGGCTCAGGTGTCAGAGTACGCGGTGAGATTCAAGATTTTAATGCATTGAGATTAGAATGTCTTCAAACCGGACGACTTTTTGAGGATCCAGAATTTCCTGCTGTCGATTCGTCTCTGTACTTTTCCAAAAGACCGGATAGATATATAGAATGGAGGAGACCAATGGTAAGAATTTAAAAAAGAAAAGAAGAAAAGAAAAATTCGAATTACCTGCTGTTAAACTTTTTAGGAAATCGCGGACGACCCACAACTCTTCGTCGAAGGTTTTTCAAGATTCGACGTTCAACAAGGAGAGCTAGGTGATTGTTGGTTACTCGCAGCTGTTGCAAATCTCACCATGGATTCGAATTTGTTTTTCCAAGTTGTACCGGAGGATCAAAGCTTTCAAGAAAATTATGCTGGAATTTTTCACTTCAGGTTAATGCATTACTTTTTTTATAGATAATATATTCAATTGAATAATTAATGATTTCGAAATATATGTACGAAATGTATATCTGTGGTGTAGGTTTTGGCAATACGGTAGATGGGTGGACGTTGTTATCGATGATCGTTTACCTACGTATAACGGTGAACTGATATACATGCATTCCGCTGAAAGCAACGAATTTTGGAGTGCTCTTTTAGAAAAAGCATATGCTAAACTTCATGGTTCTTACGAAGCTTTGAAAGGAGGTACGACATGCGAAGCTATGGAAGATTTTACAGGAGGTGTTACCGAGATGTATCAAATGGACGAAGCTCCGCCAAATTTATTCAATGTTCTTTTAAAAGCATTTGAAAGAAATTCACTTATGGGTTGTTCTATAGAGGTATATAAATACAACGTTTACGTTTACCTTCGACATTTCGAATGATCTCAAAAGTAGTCGAGTATTTATGCGATCGTAAATCATTTTCTTATTTTAGCCCGATCCAAACGTATTGGAAGCAGAAACGCCTCAAGGACTTATAAGAGGCCATGCTTACAGTATTACACGTGTCAAGTATGTAGAAATTCAAACACCAAATCAATATGGTAGAATACCATTACTCAGATTACGAAATCCATGGGGTAATGAAGCGGAATGGAACGGTCCTTGGAGCGATAAGTAATTAATTATTATGTTAGTCATTA